TTCAGTCCCCTTTGTGACTTAGGACTCTTGCCCCTTATCTCGGATTCCGATATCTTCGGAGATGACCTCGGCTTCTCCGAGATTACCTCGGCTTAACTACCAAGGCACGTGGCACCTCGGCTGACACGTCGGCGTCACCATGCCACGTGTTGGTATTCAGAAAATATATCCCCACAACTGCCCCCTAGGTTCTATTACCTCGGCATTCTGAGGTGATGGAACCTATTCCGAAATTTTGTTACTTCTTTTCTGAGTAATGGCTCAAAAACTATTTAGCCAAGATTTTCTTCTTTCAGCCGACGTGTTCTCTTCGGAGAACAAGGCTTCGATCGTATTCTCCCATGCGTATGAGCTGTCATGCATATCTAACTGTTTCTTTTTACGTGTTTTGATTGGATTGGAGCGTGTCTGTGACGCGCCTGAAGCTGTCTGTTCATTTCGTCTGCGCCGTCTGACGCGTGCGTTGCTCTAGGCGCAATAATTGCCCTATTTTTGCCGCCATTTCAAATTTTTGACAAAAACTTTTCTTTTGCCTCTATTTCTTCTTCACTTTTTCGTCTTCCTGCTCTTTCTCTCTCTGAAAGTTCATTCTTCTTTGAATCTGCTATCACTTCAATTTTTCTTCTGGATTTGCTTTTAATCCCTCATTCTTGCAAAGCCTTCTTTGCTGTTGCAACCGGCTTCTGGGTTCGGCGAGCATTGCTTTGGCTTCATTTGTCCTGGTAAGACCCTCTTCTTTAATTCTTCCATTCTCTTTATGTGCTTTTGTCTGTTTGTTGCCATTACTGACCTTGTTCGAGGTCTTGGTTTTACTTGCATCTTGAATTTGTGGCTATGCCTTGAACTTCTATGCTTTTTTCATCATTCTCTTTACCGCTATTTTTGATTTGTTTCTGTATCTCTATTGTTTCTGAGAACTATACCTCTGTTCTTGAATCTGAAACTTCGTCTTTATTTTCTCTTTTTTGTATCTGCCCCAGATCTGTGCCCTCGATTTTTATCTTCATACTTCATAGATTTGGGATTTGTCTGTAGAACCCTTAATCTTTAGGGAAACCTGAAAAACGCCCATCTTCTGAAACATATTCCTCTTAGTTTAATCCAACATAATGGGTATGTGGAGGCATAGGGTAAATACCCCGACAAAACTTGAATACT